AACAGCGATGGAAAAGATCACTTTCGTTTTCTCCCTTCACAAAACGAAAAAAGTTCGTTCTTTTTCTCCTCTCTCTATCGCTCTATCTTTGAAAGAGGTGACAAGAATACTCTTACGGGTCGACCAATCCAAAAAGGAACACGCACTTTCTCTCTCTAACACAGCTGTTCCTCTCTCTACAACTATTTTTCCAATTTTATTTGTGTTCGCTTTTTATGTTGAAAATTTGAAATTTAACACTGTGTGGCTGTGAAATTCCCCGGGGCGGCAAGCACCGTAGTCCTCAATCCGACGGCGGCGGACTAACGAACTTAAAGGAGGGGCAATTTTGTCATTTATTTGCCAAAGGATGCTGCTTTTGAACATAGCAAATGTGTAATGGAGTAAAGTTACCAAGGAGACATTCGTATTTCATTTGACGTTTGTCATTTCTGTACATTTTCGCAAGAATGAATAGTGTGCCATAGTTAGCTCAAGGTTGCAATTTAAACAGATTATTATATGCATCAACCTTATGAAGAATTTTCTTTCCTCTTTCCTAGATTTAACCTCGTAAATGGATTGGACTATTTCCTAGGGGAAAAAATATAGATAAGACAGAGTGAAATAAAATAATAAGTAGACTAAGGATAATAGAAGGGTGAGTTATATAAAATAAATCAAGGTCAAATGTAAAAGGAGTTCAATATGTGATGAAGTGTAATATTATATGTTTCACAAATTCTTTTATATTAAAACGGTTTAGGGGATGCTTGAATATTAAAAAAATAAAAAAAAATAAAAAAAAAAATTGGTTTTGTTTGGATTTTTTTTATTTGGTTTGGTTTTAAAAAAAAGTGGTATGGTTAGTTATTAGTGGGTATATTAAAATAGTATTTAAAATAAAATGACTAAAGTTGATTTGATATAAAAGTATAGAGAGAAGATTTGAAGTGATTAGTTAAAATTATGTGAGTGGATGAATAGTAAATTAAAGTTGATGTGGTGTGTAATAATGATTGAGTGATATTATTTAATTATATTGATAATATTGATGATAGTTGGTTGAGTTAAAGTTGAATTAAAATGTTTTGATATGTTCTGTATCCAAGCATCCTCTTAACCGTTTGGACTTATCAACCAATCGTATTTATTTAATGAAAAAAATTATTTATATTATTAAATGATATACTTCTAAGCTTTTTCCAAATAAATACTCAACTCTTTTCAGTTTTGCTATGGTGTCATCGGATGACACGACTTATGGAGTCATCCACACTTATTCACAAATAGTGTATTGACATGTGTCCTACAATAAATACACTTTGCACAAGTGTCAATACATTAAGTGATAGATAGCTCTATAAGAAAACCATCGAATGACTCCATAAAATTTTTGTTTTCCATAGTCTTTAAAAGTTGTTTTCCTCTCGACGCTCCCTTCTGTCAAATGCACTTTCCACTTAACTCCCTACCTAATAAGAAAATGCAAAAATTAATTACATGTCCAATCACCCTTCCACTACCAAGCTTTACCCATTTTTTTTATATATTTTTTCTTTATTCATCAACATTTCTTTTAGTTTCTTTCTCTCATCCCTCATCCTTCTCATTTTACCTGTTGGATTTTTTTTTTCTTTTCAGGTGGTGCTACGACTCATCAAACGTCCGGTATGAACAAACTTGGCCCTAAAGAATCCAGCCAAAAGAGGGACGAACTCTGACGAACGACGGACGACACTCTCCGGCGAACACCGAAAGGCCCGAGGTGGGTGAAGGTGGCCCGGTGGAGAGCTTTGAGGTGCAAAAACTGAAATTTGATGGTTTCAAAAAGTAGCATTCAGAGGTCGAGGAGAAAATTGGAGCAAGTTGTTGTTTTTAGAGAAGAAAGAGAGAGCCTTAGAGAGAAGGAGAGTCTGGTGAAGCCGAGGAAGAAGAGGGGCGTGCTAGGAGGACGATGCTTCTGAACGAGGCTGCTCGCCAAACTTCAGAACGGGCTGGAGATGGTGGCTTCACCGGCGACAAACCCTGTGAAGCTAGGTTAAACGCGGACTGTTGGGCACGGTCGATTGGTGCGTATCGGAAGGTTCGGCTGGTCGGGAATGGCTAGAGCCTGAACAAAGCATGACGATTTTCCAACGAGGGTTGGGTTGCATGATCTTAAGATGGCTTGTCGGAGAAGACGGCCTGGTTGAATTTTTCCGATGCACGTGAATGAAGGAGTTGTATGACATAAGTTTATTTAGATCGACAGAATTCGTTCACACTTGAATTGGATTGAATTAATTACGGTACCGTCCCTAGTGTGAACGCAGTGCTGTATGTTCAGTACCTCGCCCTTTTTTCGCGACAAGAAGTTTTTCGGCCGGCGGTTTTCTTGTTTTGTGAAGACGAGAGAATCGGGCGTGGCAAATGCATGTTGTGAGAATTTATTTTCTCACATGCTGGAATTTTGATTAGGCAAGGAAATGAAGTAATCCATTTTCGTTGTCCAAAGTCGTTAATAATTGATTGGTAATAGGTACTATCATAAAATACATCTAATATCATGTTTAAGACAAACATATTCCATATTACTACTCATGATTTCTTTAATCCGCCACGTCTACTATTTGTCTCATTTTTGTTGCCTTTTTTGTGGTTACTTTGCCTTTATTTTCCCCCCGTTTTAGGTCGTTTCTTTGGTTTTTAGTTGTTTTTGTAGTTTACTGCATGTTTTATTTCATTTTAAGTGTTTCTCTTTTGTTTTTCGTTCGTTTTTCGATTTTCTTCGTTTTCGTCTCGTTTTTGGTGTGTAGGTCGGAAGCTTCAGGAGGGTAGTATCTCAAGAGAAAGTTGGTTTTTCAAGCATAGTTAACTAGAAGGATTCGTTAGCGACAAGTGAAAGAAAACGAAACTCAATTCCGAGTTCGGACGAGCTCAAACAAGCCCAAAACGCGAAGTCGCGCAGCCCAGACCTTAGCGGCGCTAGTACCTGTGCGACCAGATTTTTATAACTATCGATTTTGCTCGTTTTTTGAAACCCCATTCATTGGGAATCGTTCCCAACCATAGAAAAACACCTCCAGACTCGTTTTTATCAGTTTTTTCACCCAAAAACACTTGAATCTTCATCATGGATTGATCTTGGAGAGTGACACTCCAAAGTTTATTTTCTTGCTTTTGTGTTTGCTTGTACTTTGGATTCGACCTTGGCTTCTATATTAATTGTAAGCATTAATTTTCGTTTAATCTATGGGATTGATGATATGTGTTGATATAGTGCTTTGTGTTGAATTCATTATGCGTAGCTAAATCCAATTGCTAGGGATAAGGGTATAATTGTTCTTGTCCGTTCGTATTTATCGGGCTTTGACTTGTTCAAATTCTTGTGAGTTGTTTTAAAAAGGGGTTTCCAATTTTCATGCTTGAACGTTGTTGAAGAGTGACACCTCAACTTGCATTTATTTCCAATTGAACATGATTCGTTCGAGCTTGATGTTGTTAATTCTTAAAGATTAGTCGGTTAACTACCTTCTAATTTAATTAAGCAACTTTTAGAACCGAAAGAGGAGAAGTTGTAGACCTAGGCTTGCATGAGATAGATGATTTCATAAAAGAAAAGTCTGTAGGTTTTTGGATTGAAATACATGCTCGTCTACGTCCTTCCCTTGTTACGAGAGTTATTGGGATCGGACCCTAGGCCGGTGTTGTATGTTTGAACTTGTTCATCTATGTTCGATCCCTTGTTACGAAAAGTTATTGGGAGCGAACCGCTAGATGCTTAAGCGAGAGCTTCAATCTTGGACCGAACATATAATTGCTCGGTTTTGCATCTAGAACTAGAATAATATCCCCGAGTCCCTAGCTTCTTTATCATTGTTTGATTCGTGTTCTTGAGTTGATTTTTGATTTTGCATTTTCTAATATTTCTTAGTTGATGGTTTAAACTAAACCTTCTTGATTAGAGATTTTAGGTCTTATTTTCTTTTTGTGTGTGATCAACACTGAATCTGGATTCCGAACTGCCTTCCTCGAGAGTTCGACCCGAGGTCGGGAGTCATCCCGTACTCGGTAAAAACATAATTTGCTACAACATCTACCATGTCACATGGATCGTTCATGCTTGAAGTGGTTGGACGAATGTAAAATATATAGGTAAAATTTAGACTAGTCAAGTATGATCATTCATTGAAATGAAGTGTACAAGTAATGTTTGTTCATTTGTGTGTCGGAGTTATGACTACTACTCGAAGATACTTAATTACACACATTTATAAACCCATTAAAACTAGTATGTGGGTGATTTTGAGTAATAACAACATCATTTAAGACCGAAATATTGTATTTTTTTAATTTAATTAGAGTTTGAATTGAAGACCCAATGGTAGGTACTAACTTAATATAGAATGAGTACTATCACACTATTAAGTTGGTATAAATGTCATAAACACTAGCCAAAATTAGATTTATCCATTTTTGTTGACCAAAATAGGTACTAATTGATTGGTAATGGGTACTATCATATAATGCACCTCGTATCATGTTTAAGACGAACATGTACCATATTACTAATCGTGATTTCTTTAATCCGTCGTGTCTACCATGTCACATGGATCATTCACGCATGAAATGGTTGATAAATAGACGAATGTAAAATATATAGGTGGAATTTAGACCAGTAAAATATGATTATTCAATGAGATGAAGTGTATAAGTAATTTTTGTTCATTAGTGTGTTGAGTTCATGACTACTTGTCGGGTGATTTTGAGTAATAAAAATATCATTTAAGACCGAAATTTAGTATTTTTTAAGTTCATTAAAGTTAGTACTAAAGACCCTTTGTAAGTACTCACTTACAAATGTGTAATATTATTTTATATAAGTATTTATTTATATATTTTTTACCTTATTTTTTATTACTTAATTTTTTAATTAAAATTTTATATTTAATTCATTATATTAATATAATTGTTTCCATTTTTTATATTTTAATTTTAATCAAGTTATAGGTTTTTTATACTGTATTATACTTATTATTTTATTTATTTACTTAAATTTTTATTTTATATATTTAATTGATTTTTTATATGTATTTTGTATGATACATATTCTTCTTTTCGACATTATATATATGTTTTTATGTAGTTTGTTGGTGAAATGTTCGTGGTAAGTTTTCTCCAAGGGATTCGAAAATCACTCTTGGCCAACATTTTAATTTTTGCAATAAATATTAGAAAGGTAAAAAAGTAATTTACTACTAGAAAATAAAAAAATGTATAATTTTCGCAGTAGTGGAAGGTGCATCACAAGTACAGTTAAATTGGACGGTGATGGGGGAATTTAGCGTCAACTAGTTAATATACAAAAGGAAAATGCACAAATTAAGTAAAATACAAAGAAGTTTCACTTATAAATCATTAAATGGAGCACAACAAAAGAAACGCATGTTCCCACAACCAAAAAAGGAAGGAGAAAGAAAAGCACAACTGTGTACTTCAATCTCAACAAATGGGTAGTAACTTGTGAACAAAAAGAACACAACGCATCATCAATAAACAAAGGTCACTCATAGTACATACACTGCTAAGAAAAGAAAAAAAAAAGAAAAAAAACAGTCTAGCAACATAAATACCAGTTTTGATATGAAGATAACAGTTGGCTCCATAGTAGAACCTTCTATATACAACATGTAAACCATACCATATTAATAAAATTATTAGTATTTATTTAAGTAATAAGAGAATATGGTATGATTTACTTGTCGTATATAGAAAGTTGGCTTCACTATGGAGCCATCTGTTGGCTTTATAACAAAACTGACATAAATGGATACAAACTATGAATGAATAAAGAAAAAAAAATTGCGATATAATAAGACTGATGAACGAAAATACGCAATCAATTCCATAGCAACATAAACTTTCTACTTGTTTCATCCTTATGCCCGCAACAAGAAATTTTGTCCCTCAACCCATCAATTGTGAAAACATTTTCACAAACTAATATATCCATTTTTATGTACAAACGAATGATGATTGTTGTAGTATATAAAGAGTACCTTGTGCCACTTTTACTTGAAAAAAAAAAAAAGAAAGAAAAAGGACCTAATAAACGACATGTAAACCGAGCTTCGAAGGCTTGGTAACATTTCCACTCAATTTGGTCCTGGCCATTACGGGCTTTGGGCTCGTGGGATTGCTTTTCACAGCGGGTCGACTAACTTGACGCCTGGCAGTTGGTTGACCCCCATGAGCGATCCCTGGTCAAGAGAGATAGAGATCATATGTTACTAGTAAGAGAGGCTCAAAATTTAACGCAATGCAAACAAGAAGAAAAATAATTTGAAAGTAATAGGCCCCTAAAAGTATTTGAGTAGGTGAATAGTGGATTTTTTTTTCTCGAGAGAGACTAACCCCCAGCAGGCAGAGACAACCGTTTATTTCCCTGTTTATCCGCTAGCGTCGATCTCTCCCTAGGATTACTGCGTGATCTCGAAACAACACTGGGCTTCGAGGTAGTAACCTTATTAGAGGCCATCATCTTGCCCTGCCTGTTGGGCGAAGGACTGCAGCTGTTACCAGAATGAGAAGCAGCCTTCTTTACAAACGAGGCATTGGATTTGTCCTTGCTCAACCGGGGGCTCCTCTTCACATTCGCATCGACTGATTCGTGCTCGCAGCCCCTCACCCCGTCTTTGAGGTTGAAGTCTACAAGGCGATTTTCCCAGGGCCGGACAGCCATCCATCTCTCAAGCCAATTCCATCCCCAGTAGGTTTTGTCTGGGTTGAAACCCACGTGAAATCTCGGGTTGGTTTTATCTGGTTTGGAGATGACGGGTGAAGGTGTTATTATCACCTGGTGGTGGTGCCTCGCTTGCCACTGAAGCATATGGTATTTTTTAGGCACGTGTTTGTTTAATTAAACAAAAAGTAGTAATAGCAGTAGGAAGAAGAAAGAACTTTTTTACCTGGCGTGCTAAAGCATAAGCCTTTGCTTTTTCTCGGTTAGCGGCAGCCTCTTTCCTTTTCAACAACTTGGCTTGAACTTCTTCGGCAGACCCGACAATGTCACACCATCCATCCTAGGAAAACAGTCGAAAAATTAATGGCATGTGAAAGTGAAAGTGCTTTAGCTGTATTAATAGTTCTCCTATTCAATCCATAAAAGTGGACGCGTCCTAAACAATGATGACAGAGTTTTACATTAACAATGATATTAGCAATAAAAATAACGTTCTTTCAATCAAGTTCACACTATCCAAACAAAAATTGATGGATGACAAGTAAGAAACCATATTGATCTAAATCTATTCTCTAACTCATCTTGACATATCCTTTTTTCTTTATACGTTTGAGAAGAACTTCTTTGTATCATTTTTGGCACTTCACATGAACAGGGTCCAAGTAAACCCAAAGCAAGAAAGAACAATGCCAGCAGTGATAGTGACAAATAAGATATAATTGATGACCCTTTATCAGCTTATGATGTCTTATCTGTTTACACTATGCTACTTGTGAGTGACATGTAGGTCACAAACTATTCAACTCATTTAGCATCTCGTGATGCTGTTTTCTTTTCAGAGAAAGAAAATCGTTTCTAATGAACAATGCTTACTTCATTTTTCTTGACACGAGCCTCTTGTTCAACTTGCTCTTGAAGTTTCTGTTGTGCTATTTGATTCTCTAAAGCAACACGAACGCGCCTCGCCCTGACTCGAGCCTGGAATTTCACTAAAGCTTGCATACAACGGAGAGTTGTCGTAGCTTGCTTTCTGACAGAATGACCCCTGACAAGAGCTTGGAGTCTCACCAATCCTTTTAAAGCACGTAAGGACCGTTTAGCCTGATATACAAATATAGAAATAAGGATCATACTGCATAATTGTCATTTTGGTAGATAAACATCAATAATATTACAAATTTACAATGCTAGTTGATTGTATGATTTTGTTCATCTCTAACCACTTATTTTCAGTAGAAAAGAAACAGCAGTGACTCAAAGATGCCACAGAAGTTTAACTATACTCCGTCTTACATGCATAAAACAACTTTGAAATCCCAGATTAATGCACACTTCCCAAAACTTCAAATAAGATGAGCCCACAAATTAAAATAAATGGTATATGATATGCAAATCATATATATTCAGATAATAGAAAAAAAAAATCATTTGATTAAACTTTTGATAGCCTTTTAAGTCATTGGGAACATGTGTGTTTGAGAAAATCTAATGGAGGTATAACTGCCATTGTTTATTCATAAGGATCAAGCAACAAGAATTTGTCATCTAATACATATGCATGTCATCAATGCAACACCATTTGCAAATTAAGACTGGATCCATAATATTCCATATCCTTGAGCGTGAAAATATGAATTATGTTAGTACCAACATATTTAGTCTTGTCTAGAGGCAAAATCACTCATATGCTAATCAAAACCACATAAGCCTCTAATGCCATTGAAAGCATTTACATTGAATATCTAATATAGTTCAAATCTCATAAAGACATGAACTAAAGGCGAAGTGCATCAGTGAATATTAAAGATGAAACATTTGTCAAGTGTTATGTTGAAGATGGAAATGAGTATAAGAAGAATAACAAGACTAGCAAGTACGTTTAATATAGATAAAAGAACCGGTTATTATACCAGAAATCCCCGAAAAGCTGTCTGGATGCATACGGCTGCCCATTCTTCTTTCATATTCACCTTGACATGAGAAGCCCACTCTTCCCTCGTTTTCCACTGAAATTGAGTGGCCCATTCCTCTCTTACACTCTCTTCAAGTCGATCCACTTTTTTCACCTCAAGTGGTGTCGATGGTGAGCTGATTGAATCCAAAATCAACTGGAATTTCGAATATGTAGCATCTTCGGTTTCTGTGAACACATTTTGGTTCAACTCATTTCCATTTATATCTTTATCAAACTCAAGTGAGTCCTTCCTTTTGTGCAAGATTTTTGGTGAATATGAAACCAACTCAAAGCTTTCCTCTTTTGCATCTTCGGCTACTATGATCACATTTTGCTTCAACATATTTTCAATTTTATGTGCATTGAAATCATGGGAGTGTTTCCTCTGGTACGAGATTCTAGGTGAATATGAAACCAAGTCAAAGTTTGCTTTTTTGGCTTCTTCAGCATTTGTAATCACGTTATGATTCAACTCATTTTTCAAGTATTCAAGTGTACAGTTATCAATCTCAATAGAGTGCTTCATTTCGCTTGGGATTCTAGCTGAATTCAAAGCAGACCGGATATTTGAATTCGTTGCATTCTCCGTTTTTGTGACAACTTTTGTATTCAACTCATCTTCAAGAATATTGCTATCAGTCTCAAGAGAGTGCTTCTCTTGGTGACGATCCTTCGTTGTACTTCCTGAAATCTGTTTGAAAAACTTTTCAAAAGATGATAATTTTCATACCCATTCAATCAAACTTGATTGTAGTATCAATATAGAAATTATAACTATTACATGACAACCAAAAGATACTCGGTAGATTATATAGAAATATGAATATCATGATAAAATTAGAAGTGCTAAAATCTTGTGTGCATGTTGGTTCAGTGGAGTCTCAAGTAAGGCACAATTTGGGAGCTAAGACAAAAAGGTATACTATCAAACATCTAAGAGCACAAATTGTTTAGTCAACTCCAGAAAATGAAACACTGTTTTGATTAAACTATTCCCGCGTGCTTCTTTGCGTAGTTATCTTCTCATTCTCATTTGGCATAGCTTTAAAACATTATTTAGTAGAAAGGCAAAAGTGTCCCCATGGATAAATGATTAGGTTTAGGGAGAGTGTAAAAATAAAAAATGCAACGAAAAGTGTCACCAACATTTTCCTCCTTCTCCAAAGATTGAGAGTTTTCGGATTTCTTTATGCCAAGGATGGCTTTCATCCATTTCTTGGGTGCACGCATTTTCATCAGGCCTGCAACAAGTGCAAGAAAAGAAAATTCATAACTTGGCGCAAAGTAAAGCCCAATTCAGATTTTAGAGTGATGATCAAACAAAAGAAACATGATAGAAACAGGTAATTCAACAACGTCTAGTAACCACTTCAATAAAAACCCAACATAATGCATTATTAACTCATACACCCTGTGAAATCCAGCCAGAAAGCATCCACTTAGCGAAAGAAATTTTTCAAATAGTACCCTTACCGAATTAATTAAGAGTTGCATATTTTCCTTACAGATAATGTGCATTAAATAGTTTACAACCATGCTAGTTGGCCAGATGAAGAAAAAAGCAAAAGTGGAAACTAATGACAAATAGGCCTTATGCTCAAATAAGGAAAGAATGAACAATTCAGCCAAAATCCAACAAGCAAAACTGTAGGTAGGAAAGAATTACGAAGAAACACGACGACCTAGATTTTCCAATCCCACTTGTCGGCTTCTGTATTCATTCTAAACTTATAAAACTATAAATCCATGTTGGGTCCTCTGATGCCCAGGTATATGAAATGAGGGAGAATGTAAGAAGATTAACCAGCTATTGAATATTTCAGTTTCATGATATTTCACAACCGGCGATCCTGAAATCAAAATTCCACATATTTGGTATTTAATTGGAAGCATCGTATGGATGAAAGTGGGTATCATAGCCCCGAGATCGAACGTCGGCATTGATGAACTCATCGCTGATGGCTGGCGGAGGAGAGTAGCAGATGACTAAAAATTATAATATCGGCTCGATCTCGAAATAAATACTGATAATTGTTTGGGTTTTGTGCGTGTAAATTTTATTTGGTGAATTTTCAAACTAGTAGCTAATCATGTGACATGCACAAATATAAATTATAGCATATTATAAATTATGTGTATATTTAAATTATTTAACTACAAAAGAATCTATTTATTGATTGCATAAAATATAACACATAACATATTTTTTTTGTTACTTTGATGGATCATGACCAATTAATTACCTACAAAAATATTGAAACAATATTATTTATTACATAAATTATTTAAGGGGTTTTTTCATGCCATTAAACTAATCATATAATTAAAAAACTAATATTAATTTTAGAATAAATAGCTTGAAAAAAATACAATATAATTTTTGATGATTATGTAACTTACATATACCATTTAGTGTGAATTATAATTAGTTGACTTTAGTAATAACTATTTTATGATAGAATAATTAATAGAATGTGATTAAACTTAATTAATAAAAAATAGCTTATTAATCTTGCTCTATATCTCGAGAATGAGATGGTTTTGAAGTCCTATAAAATATCCTTAGATTATCTAGTGTATTATTGCAAAATTAGTCAAGTACTTAATTAGCAAGGTTTAGTCAAAAGAGGATTATAAATAAATAAGCCATTTGGACATTTGATATATTATAACAAAAAATGAATTTAGTTGCTTTTGGCATTTTTAGAGACGGTTAGATCGTATTAATTGATACTTTAGTTGAGATGCACAATGAAAAATGTATATTTCCTGCAAATTGGTTAGAAGTGATGAGATTGATTATTTCATGGTCATTGAAATAATTGGTGATGGTTCTTATTCAGCCTATTATGTGGTCTTAAGCCAAATATTTCTCAAGAGAACATAATATACGTCATTGAACAACACCACCAAGAAAGATGAATCGAGAAAAGAAAACTCTTAATTTAAATAAAAGTGTTGGATCTGCATCACTTCATGGTGTAAAAGATCAACATAATAAATTGAAATCACAAAATCTCGCATAGAATTAAAGCTTGATGTTGAAGATCTAAATTTGATAGAGTTTCTAGCGTATGTATCACATTCATTTAAAAATTGTAATGATTATAGAATCATTGAGTAGATTTTATCATAACATCAAAGAAATGTCAATTTTGAAATAATGAACCCAAATAACAACATGAAACTATAAAAAATGTAAAAGATTGATTAAGAACGCGAAATGCATGTGATTTTTCTATCAATGATCCAACATAATGATGATTAATAAACGAAAGCAAATCTAAAATGATAAGAAAAAAAGCGAGAGAGAGAAAGACATTTTACCTTTTGTGATGAAGCTGCAAACTTAAAAAATGAAAATAAATATTTTATTTTTCACATTTGCAGCGATGAAGCTGGAAAATTATTTTCTCATATTTGTATGAAAATATCAAGAAATAAAACAAAAAAAAAAGGTTCTTTTGTTTGTGTGAATAAGAATTTTTTAGTGATAGAGATAAATAAAATTAAAGTCTTTTTAGGATTAAAATGCGGTCAAGAGCCTCTAACGGGATTTTCATTACTATATACCATCAACTATTGTCAACAGTATATTTTACATTCTATTTTTACCATTCATAAGTAGATTTTATATTAAACAATAACTACTGGTTCATGTGAAGAGAGGTCAAAGTTAATTAGTACATCGATCAAGACAAGTGTTGCCAATTCTTTTATATATTAGTGAAACTATGTATATGTGAATTGGAGGTCACATATGGTCAGCAAATGTTTATAGTAGGTATCATATATAAAATTATATGTATAGCTTTTTAAATTACAAAATAATAATTATCCTATCATACTTGCGCTCAAAAGCATGTTATTTGCACGTGTCCTATTGATCTTGTTTCAAGTCATTTTTGTAACAGTTGGGGAATTATTCACATATTTCATTGTTATGTAAATTTTAAAGTGATTTNTTCCCATTTTATTGAATTTATCAAGTTACGACGAAGTTTGTTTTCCTTAAATTTTAATAGATAGTAGTTGAATATTGTCGACAAAGTGATTTTACGAAAGAATGGAAAAAAATGGATTTAAGGGGACAAGAAACCACAAGCCATGAGTCAGGATTCGAGGGGAACCACCCGCACCCATGGGTGCTAGTTGGGCTCGACCTTGACCAAGCACGAGCCAAGGACTCACTGAACTCGTGCGTCGGGCTGAGGTGTTGTTGGATTCGTGAAGATCCTCACTCTGACGCATGTTGGACATTGGGACTCACTAGGATTGAATCTTTTTTTCAGAAAGGACTCACACAAGTTTCCACTTTGCATCTCGGAAACCAATTTAAAACAAGATTTCACCATTGATAGTGTGGCAATCTTGCAAGAGAATTTAAAGAGCTATCCATCCTGCGGACTATGTAATGTGCCACCAAACTCGCATGACTACCGAAAAACTTGCAACCAAATTTTCTAAATATACCACACGAGTTGTGTGGCTATGTGCCCACAAGTCGTGTGACTTGTGGCACATAGCCACACACGACTCATGTGACTTTTATACTAATTTTCATTGCATTTTCACTCAGGCCTTACATGATTTGTGTGGTACGTGACCCATAGCCACATGAGTCGTGCCATATATTTTTCATAAATTTATTTTTCCAATGATGAAGTCTTTTTTATCCTTTTCGAAGATGGTTTGACTCCAACTATGTAAGAGAACATTAGAGCATGCCTAGGGGCGGATCCAACAAATAGAACGAGGTGGGGCCAAAATTTTGTGGTAATTGAAAAACGATAAAAAAATAAAAAAAAATGGCACAATATAAGACATACAAAATTACCATTATATATAAATTTTAATATTTTTAAATAATTCGAAATAAAATATTAAAACACCCTACAATTACATATTTCAGTATTATTATCCATTTCAATGACTTAAAATGTGTTATTATCAATAAAAAATTATTCATCTAACAACTGCAAACACATTAAGTTGTATATATATGTCAAGATCTCATGATTAATCAATCACATGTCATACAATGTATGTCAATCTTATTAATACTCGTCGTGGGTAGGAGAGCGATAATATTTTCAATATGTTGGATCAAATAACTTATTATAATTCCATCTCTTAGTTGTTTTCATTATTCACACGAATTTTATTGGCAATAATTTTCTAATCTAACAATGATTATAGTAGCATGCAAAGACATGATAATTGATAAATTTATTTAATGATACAACGAATAAATAAGACATTGCAATAAGAAAATTTTAATATGAAAGAAGAAGAAAAAAACCTACTTTATAAACAACTTTATTTATAAAATTACTCAGTTTATATTTATTTTCTAAAATTTATGTAATAAAAATATAAAATTTCAGGTGGGGCCTGGAAGGGCTATTGATCCGCCCCTGGGCATGCCTATTGAGAGTTGACAAGGAGTTTTGGAAACTTACAGATGAGAAAATTGTTGAACATATATATATATATATATATATATATATATATATATATATTTCTCTCTCTGTGTGTGTGTGTGAGTGTGCACTTGTCTTCCATAGAATGGCAACGAACAATAGAACCGAAGAATGACGATGAACTACCCAATCAAACAACACTTGTACAATGAATTAAAAAATTCAAGATACAATGAACAAAAACGTTTTAAGACAAAGTTTCTACTAATTAATGCCCATAGTTATCGAAAAACGTTTTAAGATACAATGACTTTATCTTATGTATAATGGCACATCAAATACGTAATATTTTAATGAACTTACTCATATATAGAACTCTCATGAGATGAACAAAAATAAAATAACAGAAGATGTTATATATTCTAATGGTCTAACTATTTATTATCACTGTTTAATATCAAGTGTATATGAATTTCAAGTCTTATGAAGTATGTATTGATGTGGGAAATAATCTCCAAGGGGTTATAAGGTTAAAAGACAACTTTCGGGATGCGCTTGGCTAGAAACGAATGCAACCAACCGAGCTAGAAGCTCTTGGTGACCAACAAGTGCGACCAGAGTCTCCCCGCAATGGACGTCTCGACTTAGTCACGCCCCATAGCACCTAGGTCGTCCCTTTGTAATGGTCGTCATTGAGTCATGACGGGACCAACTGATGTAGAACGTGAATAAGAAAGGGAAACACGAGATACTCTCTCGATAAAACACAAACAAGTTTCTTCAATAATTCATCATATCACCGATCGGCTACGAAGAGAGAGGAATAATATATAGTACTAGACCCCTAAAACTCCTAACTTGCTAGTCAAGATAAACCCCAACAATAATTATTTTCTTATCCTAAATAACATAAATAAGGAAATAGAATAACAATAAGAAGAAGACAATAATATAATTAATTAAACAGTGTAAATAATCAAATTAATGACGGCATCCAATCGTATTTGTCCAGAAAAGCCATAGCGAGCTCATCTCCATCATCCTCCCCCGGTTGAGAAGGATTCGCCCTCGAATCCGGACCGAGCTCGTCTTTATCGAAGTCGTCGATGGCGGTGGCAAAAAAACCGAACAAGGGGCCGACGGATGTAAGACAAAGCGGGTGCCCTCAAATATAAACTCACACATGTTAAGGCGCCCACATGCAACACGGAGCAATCAAACTGCCAAGGACGCCCTAATAAAAGGTGTCAATCATCCATATCCATAGGCACTACGTCGCACCACACCTTATCCTTATAAGTCGGGCCGATAGAAAAAGGCACCAACACACGACGGTTAACAGGGACAGCGCTGTCACGTTGTATCCACGCAAGAGCATAAAGATCCGGATAAGGCTCACTCAACAACCTAAGTTTTGCCACTATCTTATTCGATATCACGTTTTTTAAAGCTCTCGAGTCAATCACAAAACGGCACACTCGTCCGCTAATGGTGCACGTGGATTCAAATAGATGATGACGCAAGTCCTCATCCACGGGAGGCAAGTGGCGGGGACAAAAGAGACCGACGAAGGACCAGCGCATTGCCTACGTACCCCGAGACATGCACCACATGAACCACCAGCTCTTTATAAAAAATGGGAGGGCCCTCGTAATCGACCAACTCTAGCTCCTCAACAAGTACAGACCGTGACCTTCTCGCCTTAGGGCACTGTGCCTGCCGATGTCTCGGCTCGTTGCAGTTGAAGCAGCGTAGCGCTCCCGGCTGTCGACCACCATGAATTGTTCATTCGATGCGAGTTGTGTTATTCCCAGGCTAGTTGTTTGATGACCTTCTAATCCAATTCAACAATTTTTTGACCCGAAATGGGAGAAGTTGTTCGACCTAGGCTCGTATAGGATAGGTATGTTCGTAACTGTATTGTCTTCGTGTTGTTTGGTTTTGATAATTTGCAGTTTATGTTTATCCGCTTATTATGAAAAGTTATTGAGGTTAAGTCTCTAAACGTGTAGGTTAATAGAATCATTTAACCGAAAGATAAATTGTATGGTGTTTATGAGTGGAATTAGGAACGATTTTTAAGATTTTTTTTCTTTTTGTGTTTGAATAAACGTACACAATAATCCGACTGACTTTCCTTGAGACACAACTTGGAGATTGATTCTTTTGAATTATCTCCAATAAAAAAAACTACAACACAATTCATCAATAGTACATTACACATTAAACTAATACATTATAGTGACATATTATTTAATAAACATGACCTTCAACGAAATTGTATAGTTCTATATTTAATAAATTTATTTTATACATATATTACATATATCATTTTAAGCTGATATTTTTGTTTTTAGCTTATATTTTAATATTTATTTTAAATTATTTATTTATTTATTTATTATTTTTATTTTTATTATTATTATTATTTTGAAAATTAGTAAATACATTCAACCAATGGGATACACGATATTTATATTTTTCCTTTTGATTTTTAAAAGGAACTAATGAAGAAAAAATATGAATTGTCATTCAATAATAATTTTGACATGTTAGATTCAAACCATACAAAACTTATACTACTAAAATGAAAAAAAAAAATTTAACTAACATTGATATATAATATACAAATAAGTTATGGAAAAAACTTATATGAATATAAAAATTTAGTTTTATATACCCAATATGAGTGTTAAATTTTAAAAATTATAAAATGATTATTAGTTTATTATTTTATATGTAAAAACTGGTAAAATAACTAACAAGTGTTGAATTTTACATAAAATCTAAATATTTTTATATTTAGTAATACAAGGGCATAATTTTTTTGTCCACTATAAAAAAATAATAAAATTGTAATTGAAATATATTTTAATGAAATTTCAAAGACAATTTCAGTTCCATTTTATCTGTTAGAAATATTCGTTGTAAATTCGAACGAAAATATTTTGTTGGAATGAATTTTTTATTGAAAATTTTCATTGGATTTTGTCCAAAGACCAATTTTTTAATGGTTGGAATATTACCCAAAATAATAATTCCAATGGAAATTTATATTCACTTTGAAATTTCTATAGAAATATATCGTTGAAAAAATAGCCATTGGATTCAATAAATTTCAACTAAAATTTCAAGATAAATTTAATCCAAAAAAGTATTTTAGTGTTGATCTTCATTGGAATTTTTTAAATGGAAGTTATACTATTGGAATATACGTTGGCATTTTAATTGAAATATTTTACCGTTGAATTTTTTGTTAGAATATAATAATATTTTTGTAGTGGTCTATTTTTATAATTTTTTATTTAATAATACATAAATATAGATAAAAAAATTATGGAGTATCTTCTTATTATCAATAAGTAGTTTTTTGTTATATTTTTATGAAAAGTAAAATAGTTATTATTTAAAAAAATAATATTTATTAATATTTATATGTATATAAAATCAAGAACCCAAAAAATTTTACTCGAATTTAATATTCTGACTTTCCATTAAACATAATAATTATTTTATATTATTTTATAATTTATAACTCATTTTATGGTTATTAGACTTAAATATAGATACATTTTTAATTAAGATATTTATTAGAATTAGAGAATGTTTTATTGTTTCAATTTTTTTTAATAGGAAACATATAATTTCTAAATAAAAAATAATATTTTGTGATAAAATTTTAATATGTTTATTTATAAACTTCGAAAGATGTATTTCTATATATATTAGAATTCCTAATATCTATAGAAATAGAATCCTAATATTAATATATATAGAAATAGATCTTTCGTGTTTGAAAAAAAGTAATTTAACGATGTTAACTCACGTTATTCGCTGCCGTCATCCCTTACTTTCACCGCAATTTATCCCTTTCTCTCTCATCTCCTTATCAGATTTCAGTCAGCAAAACTCCCAAAATCACTCCTAAATTCTCCCAAATTTCTCAAAACCACCGCGACCCACCGCCACCAAATCCCGCGCGCCACCGTCACAATGGATCCCCCAGTCGCTTACTCGTCGCTGAAAAGAACCCTATTTTGGCCACTGTAAACCTCCCACGGCCACCGATAGCAGTATATAGAGAGAGAACCACCACCGATAACAGTTCACAGAGAGAGAGAGAGAGAGAGAGAGAGAGATAACAACCACCGACAGCCATGGCCGCTACCTCCACTTCCCCGCTGATCCCAACCCTAATCCTCCTCCTTTCTCTGCCGATCCTCTTCTTCCTCGTCGGCCCCCGCATACTTCCCTCCCGCCACCGACGAGCTCGATGACCTCTCCCTCTTCCACAAGGCCATCGCCATGGACGCCGCCAATTACTCACGCCGCGGCCACCTCCCCTCCGCCCGCTCCCACCTCTCCGGCGGCCTCCGTCGCCCCAAGGTCGCCTTCCTCTTCCTCACAAACTCCCCCCTACACTTCGCCCCTCTCTGGGAACGCTTCTTCTCCAACGCAACCCGCAAGCACTACAACATCTACATCCACGCCGATCCCTATGTGAAGATTCCCCCATTCGAAGGCGTGTTCAAGGGCAAAGCCATCCCCGCCAAGAGAACTCAGAGATCCTCTCCAACGCTCATCTCTGCCGCCCGCCGCCTCATGGCCACAGCCATGCTCGATGACCCCTCCAACGCCTACTTTGCCTTGATCTCCCAGCACTGTATCCCCCTCCACTCGTTCAATTACCTCTACAATTTCTTATTCGATCTGGGCCGGTTATCTAGTAATCTGGAGTTCTTAAGCTACATTGAGATTCTGGATAACGAGACCACTCTGTGGGATAGGTACAATGCCAGAGGAGAAAACGTAATGCTGCCTGAAGTTAATTTTGAAGAGTTTCGGGTGGGCTCCCAGTTCTTCGTGCTCACTCGGAAGCACGCATTAATGGTGATCAAGGATAGGAAGCTGTGGAGGAAATTCAAACTCCCCTGTTTGAATCTGGATTCATGTTATCCTGAGGAGCATTATTTTCCCACTATGCTGTCGATGCAGGATCCGAATGGCTGTAGCCATTATACATTGACGAGGGTTAATTGGACGGATAGTGTTAATGGGCACCCACACACTTATCATCCTCCTGAAGTGTCCCCTGAGCTGATATATAAGCTGAGGGAGTCAAATTCAAGTTATTCGTATATGTTTGCGAGGAAATTCTCGCCTGATTGCTTGGGCCCTTTAATGGGGATGGCGGATGAGGTTATTTTCAAGGATTGATGTTCATTTGCCTTTGGTAAGTGAAGATGCCTTGATTTTGCTGTGCCTGTCAATTTCTTTTAGCATTTATAATAATGTATTGAAATTTGAAAGTAGTTTGTGAAGTTTGAGTCACTTGGGTGTTTGAGTGGGGCATTTAGAATATCTTTTACTATATGATCTTAATGATTAGGTCTGGTACATATCTTTCTAGCTTCTAGTCTGAAGATGATTTCTTAATGAAGACTCATGATACTTTGGTAGCCCTTTGTGGGGATTTTTATTGGTTATTTGTTTTTGTGGAGAATGGAATTTCCTTTACTGAAATAATGTGATCATGTCTCATGTTGGCTGATATCATGTGAGTATATGTTCTCCAAGCTGCAAGTTTTGGTGTCATTAGAGGCTTTAAGAGTGACATGATTGATTATCCTTCTCTGAAATATTGTTCCACATTCTCTTTTTTTTCAATGACACGTGTGGATTCTTTGAAATAATATATGTTTTTACGAATGGTGCACACTACAAAGTTGAACAGAAAAAATGGAATGAGAAATAAAATTTGGTCCTGATAGAAACATGATACTGTATGATATAACTAGATCGTTTTTCAATTTTCTTTGTTGCAGAAGTAAGAGATAAGGCAAGTTTGAAGCTTTTGGAAAATTAGAAGAGGAAGCATATTGGAGTGTTGCCCCTGTAAGGGATTAGGTTTGTTCAAGTGGCTGTTCAGAATAAATGCCCTAAAACCCTAAGTAACCCAGTGGGGGGCGTCCAACTCAAGTAATTGAAGGGCTATTTTAAATATTTTTTCAAGATCTGCAAATCATGTTTTGTTGAGATGTAGTTTGTAAGTGTAGTCATTTCTCATGGTGGTTGATTAGGCTTTGATCTACATGATCCAAGAACCATAAGGTTGTTGGCATTGTATTTGGGGTCTCTTGGTCCTGTTTTTGCTGTAAATATGTATGTGAAAGAAAACAAAAGGAACAGTTCTTAGCTTACGATATTGCAGATTTGCCAAATCCCATCTTGTATTTTCATCTAGTTTTGGAATACATTAGGTGATCATAGTCATCATGAGCATAATAGCAATATCATATATATTATGTGTAGCGTTCATCTAGGTGTACTTAAATAGAAGATGAAATAGGATTATATGCAATTGTATTCCCCTTGGGGTGACATTTGGTCATGTTTTCAATCTTCCATTTCATTTCATTTCATTTTTGTTTGTGATGCAAGAGATGAGTCAGAACTCATCAATTTGTGGTTTAAGGGCTCGGGGTTGTAGAAAGGTAAATAGAAGGTTCCTTTTCCCTTTTGACCCTTGTGCATTTGTTTCGTACCCTTTTTGAACTTTTGAGATCCTTGCGTTGGCATTGTGTTATGACTTATGCCAAGTTTTCTCCTTGGACTTGGTGGAATAATTGTTATAATAGGAAGCTCCTGCGGAGTGTTCAAATAAGGAACTGCGTCTCTTTGCAGACTATAAAGAAAAAGAATTTGTGACCGAGAGACTGCTTTCTTGATTTTTTTTTCTTATGAAAATGTAATGCTGGAGTCCCGGCTACTGTAGATTTTAGTGGAGAGTTTACTCTTATGTTGCTTCACATTAAAAACCAGAAGAGAAAAAATTATTGGTTGTGACGACTCATGGGTCGTGCATATGAATCTTCATAAGAGAAAATTACTCCTTACACCATAAATTTCAGTTTTTATTGCACAGTTAAATCCTACCTAAAATTTTTTTATTGCACAGTTAAATCCTACCTAAAATTATTTTTTTATTGCACAGTTTTTATTTCAGTTTTCATTAATGAAACGTGTCAGTTTCATTCCCTCAAAACACGTCTCTTTCTCTCTATCTCTCTTCTTCTTCTCTCTACCTCTCCTTCTCTCTTCTTTTTTGTTATCTAACCTCCTCATCTCTCTATATCAACGACCCATTATCCTCTCCCCCTCCTCTCTCTTATTTTTTATTTTTTATTTTTTATTATTTTTTTTTTAACTTGTGATATGCGCAATCGTTGAAATCTGATCGATATATGTAGCCCAAACAGTGTACAACATAATAGGGTTGCAGACCCATCAGGGCTCCAGCACCAGCGGCCACGTTCAGGCAAACGCCTTCAACCTGAAGGCGAAGGTGAATCGAGTCGTCACCGGTCCGAGCAAGGATTTCGAATCGGGCCAGAGGGCCGCGAGCGTGTCCCGGGGGCCCAACAGGGAGATACTAGAGGACGACCGAAAGCGGCAGATATATTGAAACGTTCGATTATATTATGTATATGTTATGTATATGTGCATGAATTATATACTTACAGTATACGAGTTACAACTCTCTAGTTGTTTTCAAGACTGTGTATATGCAATGTTTACATATTAAGAATATAACACGATTATATTATGTATATGTGCATGAATAATATACTTACAGTATACCGGGTTTGCAACTTGAAGTTGTTTTCATGACTGTATATGCGATGTTTAGATATTGTATATATTTTTCAGCCTTATTTCATCAAAATTGTTTGATTTCGACCAAAAAAAATTTATTGTAAATATACAGCAAAAACACGAGATGTAAATAACACAAAAAGTAAACAAAGAAATGAGTTTCGGAAAAAAAATACCGAGTTTATTTTGTACATATCACATTAAGCAAAAAAATATCCAGTAAATATAGAGAAAAAAAAGATATGAATAACACGAAAAGTAAGTATAAATTTGTATACTTTACAAGCTTATATCATCAAGATAGAATGATATTCCTGATCGTGTTGGTTTCTGTATCGTTAGAAGATGATAAAGTTTGAAATTCAAAATCTATATCTTCCAATTTTGAATTGAACAATATCCTAGATATTAGGATATATACACTTACCATATTTTTTTACATTTTTTTTTTCATGCGGAAAACTGAAATCTCATTATGTTCACGAATTAAGAAGGGATGGTCTTTTTTTATTTTGGTAACCGATATGTTGCATGATCACAAATAAATGCCATACATTGGTAAGGATGCAATAAAAATTTAACCCTTCGTATGATTTCAATTAAATTTCAATTCGCTATGTGAATATAAAATTTTCCCAATATATAACTGCAACTCGAGATATTTGAACATGTATCATCCACCATTTTCAATTAGAAGAGGGATATACATACATAATATGATATATATAGTATCCTACGCCAATATGCTAGACAAATATGTCAAATCAGGTAGTTTACTAGTCCCCAATGGGATATCAAGATATGAACCATCAAACATCTCATGAGTAAGGTACAAAACATCATCGACATCAATAGCTACAAGTCAGAACCCTAGACAGTACCACAATAGAACCCTAATTAACTCTTTTCTTTTTTTGGACAAAAAGCCTTTACCTAGTTGTTGTCGGTTCTTCTTCATGCAAAATGGCATCAGTCTCGGGGCTTTTCTGGCTCATGATCCACTTCCAGGCCATTCTTATCTTCAGCAACTGGTTCTGCACAATCGACCTTAGAACCACAATCGACCTTCCCATCTGGAGCTTTCTTGGGAAATGCCTCCGACTCCTTGTCTATTGCATCATTAGATTTTTCAACATCCGCATTAAAATTCTCAGTATTGCTGTGATTATGAGCTTCAGCGGCAGATGATTCCTTTGGAGCCACATCATTGCATTTCTGAACATTAGCATTTAAATTTTCGGTTTCAGCTGCAGAAGGTTCATCCAAAACTGCCTTGGTCTCAGTTTCTGTCTCGACTTTTTCGGTATCAGGTTTCTCTGGGATAGCCTCTTTGGTAATGACTTCATCGCATTTCTGAACATTAGTGTTTGAATTTGCGGTTTCAGTATCATTTTGTGTTTCAGCTGCAGAAGGTTCATCCAAAACTGCCTTGGTCTCAGTTTCTATCTCGACTTTTTCGGAATTAGGTGTCTCTAGGATAGCCTCTGTGGCAATGCCTTCGTTGTCCTCAGCTTCGTTCATGTCCACATCAGCATCTTCTTTAGTTTCTTGAGTTTCACCTACTGCATCAGCATTATTCTTCTCGTCGTGTACCTGTGGACTCGATTTTTTTCTCCTTTTCTTTGGCGGCAAGCTCATGGGTCCCTCGGGTGCCTTTGATTTCTCACTCAACCTCGCAGAGCGCCTAGGAGTGTCCCCTGCGCATGAAGATGACAAATAGTATTAGGTCACATTTGGATGAAAATGTTTAGATTTTAGGGAAAAGTATCCCATTGACAGCATATGAAACTGTTCCAAATTAGCCACAATAAGACTTGATTTAAAATCAATTAATTGTCATATTTAAAACTTGCAAGAAATTTATTTCTCTAAGTCTATAACTCTGAATCGCATCTAACAACAACAGCTATTTTTTTAGCATCATAATACAGGAACGCACGCCCATGTTCAAACAAGAGAGAGAGAGAGAGAGATTAGTTACCTGTGCCCCAGTCAAATTCGGCGGCGGCAGGGCCTCCAGGGTGAGATTTGAGGTACTGATCCAGTTGTCGCTTATTCTTGATCTCTTCTCCAGTAGGAGATATAAAAACAATGTCATTCCTCTGTGGGGTACCTCCTTTCTTTGGAGTATACTGATGAGTTCACAAAACAATAATAATGACTATAACAAAAGTTCAGTCATGAAAGTCACAAAAAAATACGGACTACAAGAATAGTAAAGAGTAACAGTTGTGATATAAAGTCATTACACGAAAGCATGTCCAATTTCAACCAGTAGCACCTATCCATACATCCCTATACCACTCTATCTTTACACTGACCAAAGTATGTAAAATCAGAATGGCGGTGATGAAACTGAT